TAACTTTTCACTCTCAAGAATATCTACAATAAAATTGTGTCTTCTCTCTCGATCGCAAGTTCGACTAATTTCCCTCCGTGATTCAATTCCAACGAGCAACGCGCGATCAAACGACTTATTTTTAATTAATACATCTCGTTTTCCGGCGACACATAAAAAGTATATTATAATTATTTTGAATACCGATTTAAAAAGTATTATAATTATTTTGAATACCAGAGTTACATGATATACCGTAACGTGATGCGATTCCTCGTCAGGGAATCCGGTTTTTGAACACACGTTTGTTGTCATTTTCTATCCCACCGCATGGTTAACTGCATTATGAATAAATTGCTTATTATATATTTAATATATATGGAAATTTACCGCTGAGTTAATTCATTCTCAGAGAGGTAATTCTCAGATGTGTTTCTGAAATTAACATCGACGTTTTACTCGATCGACTGTCGTTTCGATTTAACTATTAAACTTATTAAGCCTTTTCCTAAATTATTTTAAAATAGACATGCCTTATTTTCTTCTGCCGTTTCTAAAGTGTCTTGATAATTTATCCTTTTTAGCGAATTTTGTTAATTGTTCATCGACGTTTCTTGCATCCGGTCGTACGAAAAAAGTGTGACCAGCAAGAAAATACGAAGAGGTGCGTAATATCTTGTTATTACACGTGTCCCTCCTTGGTAACGGGACAGGCAACCAAACCGTCCGACCTACTTATACACGTTCACGTACACGCATGTTCACGCATAGTCTTGTCCGAAGAAACGCCTTAGGACTTGCCATGCACTCCGTCCATCGTGCGAAGGGTAAAACAAATTTCAAAGATTCGAGGTCAATCCCAACATCACCGTGATTTAAATATCGTAAAATTCAACGTGAGAAGATTTATCTTGAAAGAATATTCTCGTTATTGTACAGAGTCCGTCTTGCACCCATAAAACCATGATTTATTACGATCGTTATTGTCCGATAATTAGCTTCCTGTAGAGGATTATACCAGTGATATAATCTGAGTAGGAACAGTAAGTAGCTTTAAAGTTACATTCCAATCAGACAGATTGCGGAAGTGAACGGACGTGGCTTTTATTCCTAAATTTGAGGAGGATGAGACGAAACTTGTAACCTGTGCAAATGGAAAATGCAAATAAAAAGCCGAACAGTCCGCTGGGCATGCCTCGCGTGTTTTCGAAATTTTTTTTATAGTGATATTTGTGCCTGTTGACGTTGATCTTAGATTTTTCTTATTCACGTGGACGTGCACGAATGCCACGGGCTCGAAGCCAACGAGGAAGAGACGCGGCTAGAATAAGCAGAGGGACCGGTCCTTTGTATGTGCAAAATCGAACAAGGAGACAAGGAACGTTAGCTTAGCTGCAAAATGAATGTTTCATTTATCTGCCGGTATTTATTCATTCAACATGCCGTTTTGACTAATCACTGCTTTGATACCCTGCGGATGAATGACTCGGGGACGTCTGGGAACTTCATCGTCATTTACAACTTTTTAGAATTCTTTTCACTTTTTCCATAATTCTTTTAATATACATTCGAACGACCGTTTCGTCGAATCATTATCTCTTTGGTTTTTTATGAAACTGTTTTATTATCGAAACTTCTGGAGACGTAAGCGCGACTTGTATTACTCGTTCTTATGAGCAGTCGAACATTTGTTTTTTGTCGAGACACGTTACAGGTATATACCTTTCTTGGTAATGAGTAGCTTGGCTTGATCTATGGCGTTTTGCAAAAAATTGAACAGGTTGCAATATTCTTCCATCAGAAGATGAGACACGGGGAAAGATTGTACAAAAATGGACATGTTGTTCTTTTATAATGTTCGAAAAATGCATTAACGTTACCTGTTTTTTTTTTTTTT